ATTGGAGAAGAAACGAGTGGCTTCATTTCGAAGAGTCTCCTCATCATAGCACAATTCCCTATTTTCTAGACGAAGAGCTTGAATATGGTAAGCTCTCTGACGAATCAGGGTCCAACTTCAGAAATAATTGGTGTTCCGGTCTCCCTCAAGCAGGCATGTGTCATAGGCTTTCTGTTTCCACATCAGCTCTTCATGGTCGAAGACCTCTTCAAGTTTAATCCAGATTCTCAATTCTTCATCACATTGTTGGGGAGTTCTATTTCTATCAAGAGAAGTTTGGATAAACCTCAACTGCTTCTTAAGCCTCTATTTTTACTGCACAATATAACCTAAGACATCTTTATTCCAAACTTTTAGAAAATTAGTAAAGTCACGCTCAAATTTTTTAACGTCTCCATTAAAGCACTAGTTATCCTGCACAAACTGGTTAAAATTGGGGTGCTTAGTCCATCCCTTCATCTAATGGTTTCCTTTGAGTTTGAGAATGACAATTCAAGGTATGGAGAAGGATGGGACGGTGGTCTGACTTAATTCGGGTAAGATGATGGATCGTTGAACTCGGCGTAAGCTTGAGCCAAGTATCATTGACAATCATTCTATCATGTTCCAACACACAACCACGAGTCCAAGTAAATTGGGGTCCCTTAAAACCGAGGTCTTTAAGACTATGCACCTCCATGAAGTTACAAAAATGTTTACACACAGTGTCACTCCTAGTTCCCCCTTTCTTATCTGCACAATGAAGGATTGCGTTAAAATACCAACTAAGAGCAATGACCTACCATGGGTATTAATATTACTCATATCTCTCCAGAGAGTAATCCTTTTGCTAGAATTAGGGTTACCATAAACAACAGTAAATAAAAAGGAAGAGTTTTGAGAACTCCTTGAGATATAGGCATGAATATAATGTGTTGGATATATGAACTGCAAAACTACACCGTTAGCACTGACTGGAAATATAAACAGTAATTAAAAGGAACAAATACGTAAACCGTGTCGTGGCAAAAACCACTGCCTTAGAAACGAATTCGCCCCGATGTGTGTAATTGCTGCAGTAGGTGGACCATCCCCCGAGGTTAACACGGTTGCTCCGAATTCCGTACACCCGAAATCGGAGTGGACTGCTGGTGGTATTGCTCTTCTGATTGGAAATCACTCAGAGAGAACTCACAGAGAGAACTGTAGAAAACACTTTTGTAAGTGAATTGTGAATGTTTAAGAGTGAGTTGAGAAGCTGAATATAGCTCTCTGTTTATAGGCTAGAAATAAGGTTAATATCGTCCATAAAATTTCAGGATTAAATCTCTTCTTTTGTAACAGCTGAAACGTCTAGATGAACCTGACTAAAAAATAATCCAGGTTTATTGCATCATTATTCAGCTGTTATAACTCCTTAAATTATATCATGTAACCCCTGGAATTAAATCAAATAACTCATGTAACTCCTGATATTAACAGCTTGTCTCCTCTGTACAAAGCTGGAAATCAGTCCAGATACATCTTAACATTTTTTATTTAATTTAGGAAAAAGTTGTTTAATTTCTGATAACTCATAAATCAGCTGTTATCATTTGAAATTTAAACAGTCCTCAACACCCTATAAATATCAGTTGAAATCTTTCACATTTTCCATTTGTTTTTTTCAAAGAGAAATTCCTCAAGAATTTTCTCTAAAAAGATAGTATCCGCGCGGACGTGTCGAAGACACGTATTACCACGACCATGACCACAAGCCGAGCAGAGCCGAGCCGTACCGAGACGAGACGAGACGGATGGCAGCGGCGGCAGTGCGCGAGAGTCCCCCTTGTTCTCTATCACTCAACAAGGAAGTGGGAAAGCCAAGCCTTAAATACCATTCCCAATAGTGTTTCCAATACTGTGTGGGATTGAGCATTGCCAACATACTGTGGATGAGCAGCGATGATGTCAACCGAAATCGGGGAGTTCTAGAGTAACCAAATACCACACACACAAAAAACCCCAGTAGCTTCAACCCTGAAAGACTTTTCAAAACAGAGTACCTTTCATCCCTAGCTTATTATCGAACATATGATTAATTTTTGAATTAAAGAATTCTCCATTAAGGTTTACCTGGGTCGAAGCTTGCATCATATTCCTTGGAGTCGATGGATTTACTTCTTTAGGAACGACATCCAAGGTATTTTGAGCACCATGAGTGGTTGAAGACGATGAAGGGGGATCGTGTATGATTTGCATGTACGTAGCACTAACGTCTTGCTTGGTCTCACCAAAGTACCTTCCATCCCTAGCGTATTATCGAACATATGATTAATTTTTGAATTAAAGAATTCTCCATTAAGGTTTACCTGGGTCGAAACTTGCATCATATTCCTTGGAGTCGATGGATTTACTTCTTTAGGAACGACATCCAAGGTATTTTGAGCACCATGAGTGGTTGAAGACGATGAAGGGGGATCGTGTATTATTTTCATGTGCGTGGCACTAACGTCAGCTTGGTCTGCATGGGTATGATCGTATATGAGTTGGACCCCAGGATAACTTCAGTAGCAACAGGTGCAGGACTTTTTTTAACTGGGCCCATTATGGGTGATTTCTGTTCTCTTGATTTCAGCCTTGGGATAAACTGTGCGATATTCAAACTTCTATTATCTTAGCCAAAACACCAATTACAGATTTCCTGCCTTCACCCACTTTTGAAATAGCTTCCACGGCTTCATTGACAACTCCTTGATTACGGTCCTAATTTTCGGTCTCATTATCATCAATGATTAGAGAAACAAATTCGGACCCTTGGGATTTACTTTTCTTATGAATGAGTTTATTACCGTTGTCGCTTCAGATAGGATTACGTTGGCGCCCGGCGTTCCATCATCATCCAGGGGCCACAAGGGTGATTTTTCGATTGGTTACGGTTCTCCATAATGTCGGTAACCGATTTATTCCTAGAGGTGCAGTCATGTCCTTCGACACTAGTTACAAGCCTGGTCATTACAGTATCAGCTACCAGCTCTTTGTCCATGGCCAGTTTGGTAAACATGCATGCTTCCTATGAGTGACCAAATCTTCCGCACGTGGAACAGATTGAAGGAATATTTTTGTAAACAACATTCTGAACCTTATCACCTACTATGATACAGGGATGAAGGGTTGGTTCATATCAATGAACACTGCCATTCTCGCGATGCGACGTCTGTTGCTTGTGTCTTTTTGTAAATTCACTTAAACATGAATTCCGAAAAACTTGGAAATCAAATCCACGCCGTGACGGTGAGCGGAAAAACTTCCGAAGTACTAAAGCTTCTTGAACATGGTTAGGCCTTTAGATAGCTTTCACAGACGATCCACAGTCTTTCAGTCAAGACTCTCTCATAGTCCTCGTCGTTTTGAAATTTAGCTAGAAAATATCCATTTTTTAGGTCCATAAGGGTGAAGGATTAGGATGGCTTCCAGATCGCGAATGCTTTATTTGACAGTGCGTTTAATCCAATATTCTTGCCGAGAAGTTTGAGCACCACAGTTCTCGCCATACTTGCCTCCATCAGCTTGTAAGCACGCTCGGAGAATTGGATTGTCGGAATACCCTCTCAAGATCCAGTTATAAAGTCTTCATCGTTAAGATCAAGATCATCGTCATCCTCTTCCTGGTTCATATTGGAGGTATTATCCCCGGCTGGTTTACCAGAAAGAACTATGTATAAGATGAAGTCTTCTGTTCTGGGTTACTCCAGGATCTGACAACCCGAGATAAGTTTCTAGAGGTGCAGCTGGATCCCTGGTTGGTTCTATCGATATTTATTTTTGATTGCATCTCCTTTAAGAATTTTTAATATAGTTGGTTAGTTTAAATATTTATAAATTTTATAATTAATCAAAATAGTGGACATAATTAACTATTCTAATTAAAATATTATCATAATTTTTTAAAGTATTTCTTCTAAGTTTTAACACATACGAAAAATTTATGCTTCATGAATTTATTAAGTGATCTCAGTGGTTAAAAAAAGTATTAATCTCTTTAAAAGTTTTGATTCGAGTTACTACATCTACATTATGTATTGTCAATGGATAAAATTCTATAATAGACATATATTACCTTATAATCACTATACTATTAAAAAAATATGTTTTTTTATAAGATTTGGAGGCCTCGTTAAAAACCCCCTTCATAATCATCAACATACTAAACTGTATGTCAACGAAAATTGAAAGAAGGAAAAGAGTACCTCATGAATTATTAAAAAAAACAAACCAGTACACCTTAGAGTAACATATCAATATAGATACAGACACCAAATCAAGAAAAAACCAGAAACCTCTAAGAAACCCCTCAAACAACCAAATAAAACAAGGACAACCCTATCTGATACCAATTTACACCTATCTTGAACCTCAAATAACTAAAAACCAAAATAACCGAAAGCAACACCCAAATCCATTAATGTGAAAAAAGACAACCGACTCCAAGAGGGGAACCATCTACATATTTGGAGAAGCAACACAATCTAATCAATTAAAACTCCTTCAAAAACCGCTAACAGACCAAAGCCCAAGCTTCCTCTGAGACACTTAAGCAACCTCAGCCTTTTGCTTGCTCTTTTTAGATTCGCAAGGTCTTTTTTTCTTCCCGGGCTTTGGGCCCTTCCCAAGACCCGCTCCCTTTAACCGGATTGAATCATCTATTGCCCCATTAGAAACCAATAGACCCATACTAAGACCATCTTCCAGGGCATGAGACTCCACAACATTTTGATCTGATCGATCGAGGGCATCATGTAAGGAAGACTCCAAAACTGAATCTAGCCTTGAAGCCAAACCAATCTCACCACCGTTGGTTCCACCGCCACGTATTTCTTTCCCAATCTGATTTGACAAATTTTTCCATCGATCCAAGTGGAAAGGAACCCAGTGTAGCCTAAGGGGAACTTTGACCGGGAGGATGAGCTTCAATTTGAGTATTAGAGTGTGCCAAAGTAGCCATGCTCGACTTGGAATTCTTGGATTTGTCATTATCAAAGCCAACAATGTATTCTTCTTCTTCTTTCTCGGGAATCCAAGGAATAGGCTTGAATCTCGGATCGATCTCGCGAATCAGGACTTTAAACGATTGGCATTCAACCTTCAATCCTACTACCTTGTTAATTCTAGAGATGGTATTTATGAAAATTTGGATTTTTGTCCGATCAAAGGACGAAAGATATTGGGATTTTTCGTCTATAGAAATAATTTCCCCCCACTTTGTTGTTATGTTTGTAAAGGTATCCCAGCTCCAAGCATGAAAATGAATCCCTTCACAAACCAACCAAATACGCTGACTCTCCACCACCAAGTTATTGACCATGATTCAAACCTGTCGAACCACACTGCCAGAGACTCCGAATTCTCGACCTTCATTATGTTCATTATCACCGAGTTTTCAAAACACAGTAAGACAATATTTCCAGTAGCTCTCATCAACGAAAAACCAATAAGGCCTTTTTCATGCATCTGTCTAGCTAGGTTCGAAATGGAAAAGAGTTTCTGCACCAACACACAAGGCAATTTCCAACACTCGTAGTTTATCTTCATCAACCACCCCTTCTATCGAGGATAGGTTACTCCTCTTGTCAGCCACTTTCCTATCCTTCCGTTGAAAGGATGAAGTAGTTCTTTTCCAGAAGGATTGTTTGGGATTATATTTTTCCATCGAAACACCAATCTTGCAACCAAAAATGAAAGAACCATCCATCCTAAAAATTGCTTTCTTGGCTTCTTCTAGTGAAGCAAATCTGATAAAGCCAAAACGAACCCCTTACAGATTTTTTAGAAGGGATGAAATCATTAATCACCTTTCCATGGATACAAAAAAGAGAGTTAAGCTTTTTCCAGTCAAGATTCTCAGGAATATTTTCAACAAAGAGCGTACAACACCCAACCCTAATCTCCTTTTTAGATGATATATAATTCTCCTTCCCCCACAAATTATTGTCATTCCTCCAGACATTGTGTCATTTTTCCATCACTGTTTTTGGTTCCAGGTTATTCACAGCATAAGTATCTTGGGTTATGGTCGGAAGAAGGCGGAAACCCAAAAAAATCATGAATGAGAAGATGAATCAACAATCACAGATCTGACCTGAACATATCAATTTCAACTTTGAGTACTCTATTAGTGTGATTCTTCGCGTCGTTGTCGGAGAAGAAGAAGCGTCGCCGAAAATCTAAAAAGTCAAAGGGCCTCGACATAGATCTACTATGTTGTAGGCTCTCTCTCATGAAATGAAGCCTAGATCCTTGTTGTTGGCGTCAAGGCGAGCATACCTTGAAGTTTTGGTGGTCAACGACCACCGGAGGTGACAGCCGGTACGGCGGCTGACGACGGGTTGACGATTGTGCGACCAACGAAACTCCCAGCCTAGAGAGAAGGGAGAGGGAATCGGGGTAGAAAGAGAAGATATGTCATTCTTAGATCGCCTGGATTCTAGAGAGAAGCGGGCTTTTGAAATGTTTTAACACCGTTCTGACTGGATGGGAATTTTCGTTTTCGTTTTTAGTAGGATTCAAACCATGAAATGAAACCAAAAGATTTTATGTGATAATATATAGGAGTAATTAAACCTCAATTATTTCAAAATTAATACGCTAACTTCGCGCGATCTATAGAGGGGGAGAAATGATGTAAAAAAATATCGTGTTTTCATATTCATACCCAACTCGAGGTTCATATTTTAATTTTGTAATTTGATTTAAGAAACGATATGTCCTTAATACATATCATTAATACAATTAAAGAAAAGGCTAAATTATAACATTGATCACTTAACTATTTAATCTTTTTACTTTTTACCACCGATCTTTTAATTTTGTCAATCAAACCATATAATATGTAATTGTATTCAATCACGCCACTTATAGTTAGGGTGTTCAAAACTAGGTACCCAAATTGTTCGAGTATCAAAATGTCTACCCTTGACCCGACAGGTAATGGGTACCCGCTGGTTTAAATAATAGGGTAACCGGTTCCTATTTGTCAAATAAAAAAATCTACTCTAGTTTTTCATAAGTCTTCACCATCATAGCCTAGTGTATCTCTTAAATGGTATTCTAGTTTACACTTTACAGCACTGATATATTGTAGTTAAAGACGAATCAACATAATTTAAGTACCTACATGAAAGACGAATCAGTACTGGTATAATTCCTATAATTCGATATAGTATAAATTTTAGCTTGAGCCATGTATTAGTTAAAGACGAACTATATTAAATATTGAAATAGATTAAAAAATTAAAAACCACGACCACTTATGATTCCTTAACGATCTCGTTGTTGCCTGCTTGACGAATGACTGTGAGGGACGATGAGACCGTGCGTAAGTCGTAAAGGCCGAGGGATAGGGGTTACAAAATGAAATTGCGGTTGGGAATTGCCTGCTACTGTTTTGAATAAGAATAAAACATCGTTGAATATTGAATTTTAATAAAATAACATACAAAAATTAAAAGGTACTGGATACCAAATCGATGGATACCCGATTTAAAGATTTTTTTACCCGAAAACCCGAAAAAAATAATAGGTCGGATGCCCAACCTGCAACTTCTGGTATTTTCATAAAAAAATATCCGATATTTTTTTTACGGAATCAACGGGTCAAGTAATCCAGATAGGGTAATTTTTAACACCCCTATTTGCCGTTAATATCTAACTATAGCATTGCCGTTATTCATTCACCATATCCAATAAAATTAACTACCAAAAGGTAATGAAATATTTTTTTGAATATATATAGTTAATATTAAAAGAATTAAATATATGAAAACGTTTATTAGCTTTGGCTTTTCAAATCAGCCAACAAAATAGAATAAAAAAATCAAAATAAAGGAGCTCCCAGTGTTCCTTATGTTCCCATGCAAACAAAAATATGGGGAAAATGTGTTCACAATTACTTTCAAAATCCTGTCAAACAATGCAAAAGCTTTGTAAAATGATTGTTCTTTACCTTTCAATTGTTTCCTTCTCTAGTTCATATGATTATAACATTGCCTGCTTATGATATTTGCATTTGCCCTAAAAGTCAAATGCAAAATATAAATCTCAGGAATTGGATGCAAAATGATTGAATATAGTCTCCAGAGTTGATTGGCTGATACTGTACTCAGCTATGCCCGATTCATTCCTGATGTAAAAAAAAAATTCTGGTTTCAGTGGAAAATTCACCCCCCCCCAAAAAAAATATATATGAACACGAAAATGACAAGGCATGGTTGAAATAAACCGAATTCGTGATTTTACTGGCTGCTGATTTTCAGTTTTCAATGGTTCCAGCCAGTGCTGTAACTTCTCTGGTTTAAGCTATATATGTTGAGCTGCCGGACCAACTGGTTTCAGTTGAACCGACCAATCCTATCCGATTTTTCCAACCATAGGAGATGGAGAAAAGAAATGGCAGTTTAAGAGATGCTTACCTGTTTCTCTCCAAGTGCCCAAAAACATCCGCCAATGAGAGACCTTCTCTGTATGGTAACTGCAACAACAAAAATATCGAATCAGTTACTGTCGCTAAACTGAATCACAAAGCACCATATGTTACTCGAAATCGAGCATGTCTTTAATACAAGTATAATCCTTTCTTTTACTTCTTAAAAAATATCAAACAGGTGGAATTTCATTTAAAATTCATCAAAAAACTAAGGGCGTTTTCTTTAGCTTACATAGCTGAAAGTAACTATGAATTTTACCTGATATTTAACACTTAATCCATTACACCCATGGAAAGTTGCACCAGGAAATGAAGTGTGTATAAATGAATCAATGGCTGAAAACTTCTCACGAGCTAGCCACCACTCAGAAAATATTGGCAATGGTATACCACCTACATAACCTTGAATAGTAAGTCAAAATTGCGGTAAGAAAGAAAAAATAAATAATTGAGGACTAAAGCACGATAAAAAAATGTCTCGTTTCATGCTGAGTTTCTATGAAATGCAAGTTCATAATAGTGACAAGAAACAGCATCAACAAAATTATTTTTGATTCAGCAGTGAATGGATATTAAAATAACATCGGTAGATGACTTATACCATCCCGAATCAACTGCTCTGACAACTGTTCACCAAAAAGCCCATCGGAGATTGGTCTTGAAGAAAGAAGAGTCTTTACTCTGTCTTCATTTCCGAGCCAACGTCCAACAACAACTATCATCTCCTTCGACAAGCTAATTTCTGCAACTGATGCATTTTCTGATGTACTGGAGTCGACGCCCCCAATACAGACTTCAAGATCGTTTAGTAGGCTTCTAGGATGGGAGGGAATGTCAAAAAGCATTTCTTGAATAATGTGGCAAAGATTTTCCATATCAGCAGAGTTCACTTCGGTGGGTTTAATCTGATTGAAGGTAAGAATTTATTGCATTACAAGTGTACATGTCTTTCAACACTGATTATCGAACATTACTAAATCAAAGAATGACATCATATTTAACTACATACCTCCAGCTCAAGATGATTTCCAAACCTTGTTTTTAAGTGCTGGGGACTTCCGATGCACCTTAGCCTGCCTCCAACCTAAATGGAAAATGGTTTACAATAAGTGAATAAAGTGAATGCCAACAAGTTTCATAAGTTTTAGGATGCGAGGACTGGTACCATTATCCCAATTCTGGTACATAAAGCTTGAGCTTCATTCATGCTATGGGTCGTAAGGATCACAGCTGTCTTTCCTTGTCTGGTCGATAGGCGGGATATTACTTCCCACATGAATCTTTTTGCAATAGGGTCCATACCTAAAATAACCAATAATTACTAACTGCTAGTAAACAAAAAGAAAGCTCTAAATATAACATCATGCACTTCTCGCATCATTCCATCTTAGATAACAATTAGCTAGAATTTTTTCACACGGCACTCTTAAACAATAGACAACAGGCTAGAAACTGCCATCAAAGGCCATATCCCTGTGCCGATCCAAGCATTGCTTTACCTAAACTCAAACATGCAGCGTGTAAGCAACTAACCTTTTTTTCGTAGACCACCAAGCAACTAAAGTTAATGCAT